CCCCCCCCCCCCCCCCCCCCCCCCCCCCCCCCCCCTGCCTCCCTCCTGCTCTCTCTGCAGTGTCCTGAGGTAGTTGGATGAGCTCAAAGCACTCAGACCTTTTTAGAGATCTACCTCTTCAAAAACCAGTTTGCTCCTGCTGTTCTCCTTTTTTTTTTCTTTTTTTTTTTTTTGGTTAATGCTCACAGTCTCTTGTTCTGTGGCTTTCTGAGGGCTTTGTGTGGCTCAGAGGAATAGACGGGCTGTCCGAGCGAAAGGCAGAGACGGACAGTGGCGTCCCCACAGCAACCATATTTTTAACCCACTCCTCCCCGGCACTAATTCAGCCATTCCAACAAAGTCTGGCAAATATTTCCAGTATTGCTGTGGTGGCAACAGCAGGCAGATGGGACACGGTTTCTCTCCCTCTCCCTCCCTGTCTCTCTCATGACGCCTCCTGTCTCTGTTCTCTCTCTCTCACTTTGACTCTCTTTACCTCCCTTTGCGCTCTTCCTCTTTTTTCAGTTTTTTTTTTTTTTTTCTTCAGTGTAAAATAAAGCAACATGAATGGACTGCTGACGCATCCTGCTTGGAAGTAGTGCTTTGGTTTGATGCAGTGTGTTTTGTGCATTAACTCCCCCCATCCACCCACTCCACCCTCCTCACTGTCTGTCCTTCTCACTGCTCACTCTTCATCCATCACTCTGCTTCATCTCTTTACATACAATCTCCTACAAGTTGTCAGGGCATTAAGTGAGATTTAAGCCGTATCTGTTTTCGATCTATCTCCTCGGTGCAATGGAACTCATAGTTTAGATTCTAAGAATCTGATTAGGTTACTTGATTAACACCGTATATTAGAGAGAGAGAGAGAGACAGACACTCGAGCTGTGACGGAAAGGAAGTGCAGCGTGATCCTTTCACCACGCATGCCTTTGCAGGTTGTTAGAGCACTCTAAACAGGCCGTGTCTTAACCCTCAATTTGAGCACAAACTCCCGCGTGCTTCCTGAAGCCATAAAGGTCATGTTCAGGAAGGCGAACGGGAGAAAACAAGACGTGCTTTACCTTCCATGCCGCAGGAGAAGAGGCGAAAATCTACGCACCCTACTGTCCCATCACCCCCTCTACCGCCAATGATTTGTACCTGCCTCATGTCCATAAAACCAGAAAGCAGTGTGGGAATTGATGCTTGGTAAAGCTAGCTGTGACAGTGCTGCTAGTTGCACGTGTGTGTGTGTGTGTGTGTGTGTGTGTGTGAGCTATAGAGTAAGAGTGTGAAAGAGAGAGAGAGAGCATGCCAGCTCAAAAAGGTCACACTGCCTGTAGCGCAGTACGTTATTCCCACCGGCACAGGAGTATAGAGCCAACTCCTATATTATACATACACACACTTTCTCCTTAACTTCACTGCAGTTGAATACGAATGGGCTTCAATGAAGCACGTGTAAGACAATGGTGAGGTAGCAGCACCAGGAGTAGGGGGGGGGGGGGGGTTTCCTTTGTCAAGACGGAAAGGCTATTTCCTTTCCTTACCGCAGGAATTCCCTAGCACCGCGGCCATCAGAGGTGTGCTGCACCTCTGCGTTCTCTCCGAAACGTGAGCAGGCGCAGATTCAAGCGGGCGTTCGTAAGCAGGTTACAACACTAACGCAGGGTGTGCGACAAATGCGCCGCTCAAATATCAACATTTCATTGATCTGTTGTCGGTTGAGCCAACTGCAAATGAGGGCTTGTTGTTCTCTGTGCGATTTATTGATGACACAACGCAGAGCGGTGCGCGTACTGGCACTGCTAGCTTTAGTGTGTGCGTGTGCGTGTGCGTGCATGCGCACTGTGTACTGTGTCTGTAGGTGTGGTGTGCCACCATTTGATGAGCAAGTGACCCAGAATGAGTGTTTTTACCTGCCCAAGCACAGTACATCCCAGACAACCATCTCACCAAAAATCATCCGTTGACCCGTAACCTGACCAACGCTGTCGGGACAGCTCTCTCCTCTTGGCTCTCGCCCCGTCCATTTCTCTCTCGTTCCCATCTTTTCCATTCTCTCTCTCTCTCTATTTTTTCCCCCTCTTCTCAGTGGACACTCGGCTTTCTCACTGCTGATGGAGCACCGGGTCATGGCCCGCCAAGCTCTGTGATGCTCCGTTGACCAAAAGTGGTCAACCGTTCGCTTTATAGTTTGATCCTGGCCCGGAATGGCCGACATTGCTTGATGGTCAGCCAAACTCTGTGATCAGAGGAAGGGTTTCCCAAGGTCCAGCATGGCATTCCTGAAAGTGCCAAAGAGGTGGAAACCAGAAAAGCATTCGCCGCCAAACTACTGGCCTTTTTTTTTTTTTTTTTTTTTTTTTTTTTTTTGTTCAGAGCTGAATCTGATTTGGGGATTCAGGTCAACGCAAAGAAATGTTGAACGCGGGCTAAACGGATAAACTTTGAGTGTCTTTCGAGGTTTAAATTCTGCCAGTACAAGCACACACTGGCTCGACGTGAAGAGTGTTGTCGGGCCTCACTTCCAGGACTCACTGACTGCTCGTGGCCTGATGAGCTGTCAGAAATGTGGGACCTTCACGCTTTCACGCCAGCCACATGCTCCTGCTGTGCGACCCCATGTCTTTCACCGAGGGCTTTACAGAGCCCCCCCTCCCCGAACTACACCCAGTGCCCTTCTGGCCTGGTACATGGGGTACTGCAAGACCTACTTCGGTGCGTGTTCGAGGGGTATGTGCAAATATTACAGAGCCCATCCCCTTGGGGTGAGTGCTGGCGAATCTGGGCTGCGGCCAGTCACATGTAGGTCAGCAGCCTGGGTCTGCTTGTGTGTGTGTGTGTGTGTGTGTGTGTGTGTGTGTCGGTAGTTCCATTGGGATGAATGGCCCTGCAGTATATAGCATAACAGCAGTGATGATCAGAGTTTAGGAGTGTGCAGTTGAATGATGGATCTAATGATAATGTCATTGCCAATGCCGGATCAAGGATTTACAGTATAGGCCCTTCGGCGATCCACATATGGTTTTTCTGTTTGTGTGCATTTGTGAGACACACACACACACACACAGAGAGATTTTGTTTTCAAGGAGACAGGAGGCACACTATTTTTGGGCTTGTCTTGTGCTTTGAGAGCTATTACATTCTTTTTTTTTTTTTGCATATGTGCGAGCGTGTCCTCTAAGTGTCCAGTAATGTCCCGGTGGCCGAATGCCCATCAGTGTTCACCCTGATGCAATGTTAACGTCAAACGATTCTTCCAGGCCACCGTACTTAAACATGTGTACACACAGCAACACACACACACCCCAAATCTCTACGATGCTGACCTTGAGGTAATCGACCCGCTTCTAGACACTTCCTTTCCCATTTTCATTTCAATTTCCAGGAATTAATTCTGCAAGAGATTATGTATCTCTCACACACACACACACACACACACACACACACACACACACACACACAATCGGTGTCCCAGTAAAGGCTTAAACTGCTCGGTAGGGATTTTTTTTTCTGTTTATCACATTTCTCATCACACACACTGCCGCGCACACACATACGCTGGCACACATACACTCACACCAATCATATGCCAGCGTATCAAGAGATTATATAGCCACTAGGGTTTATTAGTGGCTTCCGTATGCCCAGGTTGTTTCCTTTCATCCTGTTACCTGCTCAGTCCTGCTCGTCTGCTTTCACTGACCTTGTTCGGCCGCCGCTCAGTACATATATTCATTTTCATATATATATTCATACATATATTGATAACATTTTCAGCATTGCCCTACATTAGACATTCATTTCAATCAATGTCTAGTTGTCGGTTTTTCTTTTTAGTCTTTTCTTAAACTCTCCCTAGTCTCAACTTGTCCCTTGCCCCATTTCTTTGTTTTTTCTTTCCCTCTCCTCCTCCTTTGTATTTTTGTTACAACTCTTTCTGGCTGTGTTGTGTCCCTCTTTCGCTCCTTTTTGTCTAACTCTGTCCTCCCCTTTGTTTTATTTCCCGCACTCCCCTTCTCTTAATTTCTACTTCTTACAGTGTTCCTCTGCTCCAACATTTGCAGGCAGTCTCAAGTTAATAGTCTTTGCTCATACAGCATATGTTTTTGTTCGTGTGACAGTGTGCGCACTCTCAAATAAAGGGCGGTATCGGGTCAAGGCAACTGCAGGCACACAGTTAAAAGATGAGTGTTTTTTTTATCCTGTGTTTTTTAGTATTTGAGCTCCGCTAGCAGCCATTGTCTCCAGACTAATGGGCTTTATTATGTCGAGCTGTGTTCATACTGGCTGCCAGAGCGGGGATAAGCCCTAGCGCCGTGTTAGCTGGAAGCAGGAGAAAGATACAACTAGGTTAGCACTGTTAACCCAATCAGCATGAGCCAAGATATCTCGATAGGAGGAGATACTTCATGCCTATTTGGACATTTTGGATTTGGCCTGATAAACTCACGTTTTAAACCTCGCTTTCGCCAATTACGCCCACATTTATTTTTAAAGGATGGGATTTTTCATTGAGAATACAGTATACTGTATATCATTGTGCCGAGCGTGCGATATAGTGATTTATACTTAACTCAGCATATGCTAATGCTCCCCACGTTGGGCCCTGGCCACGTCATTGGTCAGCTGGCCTCATTGGGATTCATGGAGCATCCCTGTATGTGCGTTCATCACAATGTTGCCTTGCCAACTGCCAGGCCGTAGGAAATGGATGTCTCTTTCCTCGGAGCAATGTGAAGGTAAAAACATAGTAATTCACCGCTGAGAGAGCAGCTAAATCTTCTCGACTTTTAGCTCCTTCAGCGCAAAGATGCCGTCTTCATCCAGTGCCCCCCCTCCCCTTTCCTTCTTTTGCTTTCATGTACCCCTGGCTTGGTCAAAAACAAAATGCTTAACTAGTGAGTTGTTACTCTGCGACATCATG